ACAGATTTGTTTCCCAAGTGCAGAAATATGACCCTACTTTCCCTAATGCAACCCAAAAAGCACAAAACCCCAAACTGGAGATGGACAGAATTCAGCCCCTCCCCTTTCCTCCAGAGCAGCAATAAATCCCGCCTCTGGATCTGTACAGCATTTAGCCCCTCCCCTTTCCTCCAGAGCAGCAATAAATCCCGCCTCTGGGTCTGTACAGCATTCAGCCCCTCCCCTTTCCTCCAGAGCAGCAATAAACCCCACCCCAGATCTGCACAGCAATCAGTACTGTCTTTGTATCATGGGCGGCACGAAGCCTTGTCTGGCTTTGTCTCTTGCTGCATCATACTCTGTACCTCTGGTTTGATCAATTTCTTCCTCTGCATCCCTTCCCCTGTGGCATCCTCCCAGCCCTCCTCTCATACACAGATACCGGGTCTCATCTAGCCTTTTCTCAATTTCAGAGCCTCTGGCACTGGCCTGCAGCCAGGTCTCTGTGTCTTCTTGGGTGCTTCAGATCTGCTCTCCATGCATCTCTTCCCTCAGGGCTGGGAGCAGGAGCTGAGACGTGGAATGCCATCAGCGTCAGCCCTCTGGTCATGTCTGCAAATGGGTCAGTTCCACCCTTTAGCACTGCAGCATCGTGGGGCAAGAGGGACTAGAAATGGGAAGGATCGAGTTGTGAAACAGTAAAGTCTGGGGATCCAAAACAGGAAGGGGCAAGGGGATCAAAACAGAAAAAAAATGGTGTCCAAAACAGGAAGGGGCAGGCATTGAACTAGAGAAGATTGGGGTCCAACACAGGAAGAGGCAGGAGTTGAAACAGAAAAAACACCTGGGATCCAAACCAGGAAGGGGGATGGGATTTAAAATGGGGCCCAAACGAGAAAGGGGCAGGATTTGAAACAGGAAAGGTTGAGGCCCAAACCAGGCACAGAGTTTGAAAGCAGCCTTCCAGCCTTTTTCCAGTTGCAAAATGCTGCTGCATCTTCTAGCCTCATCTTCTGACAAAACACCCACAAGGGCCAGGAAAGCAGGGGAGCTAATCCAGGAAAGGGGGGGGCAGTATCCCTCCTCCACCTCGTGCCACGACACATGCAGCATTTCTTTGAAGTTTACATTGTCGTCAACGTAGCATTTGGGCAGCTGTGGGGGCGCTTTACCTGGCATGGGCCCTGCTGCCCACCCCCTGGTGCGGGATCAAGGTTAAGGGCCTGTGACCCTGCCCTCTTCCCCCCCCTCACATTCCTCCCATCGGGTTGTGTTTTTCTTGGTTTGTCTATATTAATATTTATTTATTTGGAGATGTTATTTATTAGATGGTATTTATTGCAGAATTTCTATTCTTGTATTAACAAATAAAAGGCTTCCTCCATGAACTTTGCTCATTGGCATGTTGGGCTGGAACTGGCTGAGAGCTCACTGGGGTGATAGATTTCACCATGTCCCCAATCTCCTTCTGCAACCTGATGGGCTAGCTGAGATCCCTGACCCATGTAAATGTAACCTGAGTCCACCCCACGGCTGTCTGTCTCCTGGTCACTGCCCTGATCCAGATCCTGATCTGCCCTCCTCCCCAGCACCATGTGCTGTTACCCATGTTCTCCTGAAAGATTGGCCATCCTGTGGCTTTGGAGTGTGGATGAGGGGGGTCTCCTGGCAGGAAGGGAAAGAAACACCCTTATGCAAATGAAGCATGGAATGGAATATCACCACACTTCATTTGCATAATTAATTAGCAGCCACTTTTGCACTAGAGGCTTTTGTGCAAAAAGAAGCTGTGTGCACATTTTTCAGGAAGAACAGCTCTTGCGCCAGAGGGGGTTTTTGCGCAAGAAGGAGCCGTCTACACAGCCCCTTTTTGTGCAAAAGCCTCTCATGCAAAAGAGGCCGGTAATTAATAATGCACATGAAGCGTAGTGATATTCCACTCTGTGCTTCATTTGCATAAGCTTTTGCTGAAGAAGGCTACAGTGTAGACATAGCCCCTGAGGGGTGTTATCCAGGGGAGGGGACAAAGCAAGGCCATGGGTGGAGCTCTAGGGGTGTGGAAAGAGACTGCTTGTGAGCATGGAACAGTAATGAGTGGTGGCCCAGAGACAGATACAGGAGTGAGGCTGGATGGGAGGGGGACTACCAGGCCCCTCTGCCCATCCTGGCAGCTCCTACCTGTGTAGTGATGTGTCTGATAGGGAACACAGATTTGTTTCCCAAGTGCAGAAATATGACCCTACTTTCCCTAATGCAACCCAAAAAGCACAAAACCCCAAACTGGAGATGGACAGAATTCAGCCCCTCCCCTTTCCTCCAGAGCAGCAATAAATCCCGCCTCTGGATCTGTACAGCATTTAGCCCCTCCCCTTTCCTCCAGAGCAGCAATAAATCCCGCCTCTGGATCTGTACAGCATTTAGCCCCTCCCCTTTCCTCCAGAGCAGCAATAAATCCCGCCTCTGGGTCTGTACAGCATTCAGCCCCTCCCCTTTCCTCCAGAGCAGCAATAAATCCCGCCTCTGGGTCTGTACAGCATTCAGCCCCTCCCCTTTCCTCCAGAGCAGCAATAAATCCCGCCTCTGGGTCTGTACAGCATTCAGCCCCTCCCCTTTCCTCCAGAGCAGCAATAAATCCCGCCTCTGGGTCTGTACAGCATTCAGCCCCTCCCCTTTCCTCCAGAGCAGCAATAAATCCCGCCTCTGGGTCTGTACAGCATTCAGCCCCTCCCCTTTCCTCCAGAGCAGCAATAAATCCCGCCTCTGGGTCTGTACAGCATTCAGCCCCTCCCCTTTCCTCCAGAGCAGCAATAAATCCCGCCTCTGGGTCTGTACAGCATTCAGCCCCTCCCCTTTCCTCCAGAGCAGCAATAAATCCCGCCTCTGGGTCTGTACAGCATTCAGCCCCTCCCCTTTCCTCCAGAGCAGCAATAAATCCCGCCTCTGGGTCTGTACAGCATTCAGCCCCTCCCCTTTCCTCCAGAGCAGCAATAAATCCCGCCTCTGGGTCTGTACAGCATTCAGCCCCTCCCCTTTCCTCCAGAGCAGCAATAAATCCCGCCTCTGGGTCTGTACAGCATTCAGCCCCTCCCCTTTCCTCCAGAGCAGCAATAAATCCCGCCTCTGGGTCTGTACAGCATTCAGCCCCTCCCCTTTCCTCCAGAGCAGCAATAAATCCCGCCTCTGGGTCTGTACAGCATTCAGCCCCTCCCCTTTCCTCCAGAGCAGCAATAAATCCCGCCTCTGGGTCTGTACAGCATTCAGCCCCTCCCCTTTCCTCCAGAGCAGCAATAAATCCCGCCTCTGGGTCTGTACAGCATTCAGCCCCTCCCCTTTCCTCCAGAGCAGCAATAAATCCCGCCTCTGGGTCTGTACAGCATTCAGCCCCTCCCCTTTCCTCCAGAGCAGCAATAAACCCCACCCCAGATCTGCACAGCAATCAGTACTGTCTTTGTATCATGGGCGGCACGAAGCCTTGTCTGGCTTTGTCTCTTGCTGCATCATACTCTGTACCTCTGGTTTGATCAATTTCTTCCTCTGCATCCCTTCCCCTGTGGCATCCTCCCAGCCCTCCTCTCATACACAGATACCGGGTCTCATCTAGCCTTTTCTCAATTTCAGAGCCTCTGGCACTGGCCTGCAGCCAGGTCTCTGTGTCTTCTTGGGTGCTTCAGATCTGCTCTCCATGCATCTCTTCCCTCAGGGCTGGGAGCAGGAGCTGAGACGTGGAATGCCATCAGCGTCAGCCCTCTGGTCATGTCTGCAAATGGGTCAGTTCCACCCTTTAGCACTGCAGCATCGTGGGGCAAGAGGGACTAGAAATGGGAAGGATCGAGTTGTGAAACAGTAAAGTCTGGGGATCCAAAACAGGAAGGGGCAAGGGGATCAAAACAGAAAAAAAATGGTGTCCAAAACAGGAAGGGGCAGGCATTGAACTAGAGAAGATTGGGGTCCAACACAGGAAGAGGCAGGAGTTGAAACAGAAAAAACACCTGGGATCCAAACCAGGAAGGGGGATGGGATTTAAAATGGGGCCCAAACGAGAAAGGGGCAGGATTTGAAACAGGAAAGGTTGAGGCCCAAACCAGGCACAGAGTTTGAAAGCAGCCTTCCAGCCTTTTTCCAGTTGCAAAATGCTGCTGCATCTTCTAGCCTCATCTTCTGACAAAACACCCACAAGGGCCAGGAAAGCAGGGGAGCTAATCCAGGAAAGGGGGGGGCAGTATCCCTCCTCCACCTCGTGCCACGACACATGCAGCATTTCTTTGAAGTTTACATTGTCGTCAACGTAGCATTTGGGCAGCTGTGGGGGCGCTTTACCTGGCATGGGCCCTGCTGCCCACCCCCTGGTGCGGGATCAAGGTTAAGGGCCTGTGACCCTGCCCTCTTCCCCCCCCTCACATTCCTCCCATCGGGTTGTGTTTTTCTTGGTTTGTCTATATTAATATTTATTTATTTGGAGATGTTATTTATTAGATGGTATTTATTGCAGAATTTCTATTCTTGTATTAACAAATAAAAGGCTTCCTCCATGAACTTTGCTCATTGGCATGTTGGGCTGGAACTGGCTGAGAGCTCACTGGGGTGATAGATTTCACCATGTCCCCAATCTCCTTCTGCAACCTGATGGGCTAGCTGAGATCCCTGACCCATGTAAATGTAACCTGAGTCCACCCCACGGCTGTCTGTCTCCTGGTCACTGCCCTGATCCAGATCCTGATCTGCCCTCCTCCCCAGCACCATGTGCTGTTACCCATGTTCTCCTGAAAGATTGGCCATCCTGTGGCTTTGGAGTGTGGATGAGGGGGGTCTCCTGGCAGGAAGGGAAAGAAACACCCTTATGCAAATGAAGCATGGAATGGAATATCACCACACTTCATTTGCATAATTAATTAGCAGCCACTTTTGCACTAGAGGCTTTTGTGCAAAAAGAAGCTGTGTGCACATTTTTCAGGAAGAACAGCTCTTGCGCCAGAGGGGGTTTTTGCGCAAGAAGGAGCCGTCTACACAGCCCCTTTTTGTGCAAAAGCCTCTCATGCAAAAGAGGCCGGTAATTAATAATGCACATGAAGCGTAGTGATATTCCACTCTGTGCTTCATTTGCATAAGCTTTTGCTGAAGAAGGCTACAGTGTAGACATAGCCCCTGAGGGGTGTTATCCAGGGGAGGGGACAAAGCAAGGCCATGGGTGGAGCTCTAGGGGTGTGGAAAGAGACTGCTTGTGAGCATGGAACAGTAATGAGTGGTGGCCCAGAGACAGATACAGGAGTGAGGCTGGATGGGAGGGGGACTACCAGGCCCCTCTGCCCATCCTGGCAGCTCCTACCTGTGTAGTGATGTGTCTGATAGGGAACCAGCCCTCTCCACTTCTGTGAGACAGGTGGCTTCTTATGTCCAAGGGGGAAACTGAAGCACAGAGCAGGCACAGGGGTCTGTCACAGCCATTCAAAAGCAAAGCCTAGAGAGTAATCCAGGCATGGTGGCTCCCTCTTCGTTCCGCCCCACCCCGCCTCAGCAGCCCTACCCACCAGATCAGGGCTACTCAATTTTGGAAGCCCCAGGGGCCACAATGATACTCACAGCACATGTCGAGGGCCACAACTTAAGTGTGGTTGCATATGCATGCAAATACAGATGCAAATATGTACAAATAGCTTATTTCACATTGATGGGCATGAATACAAAGCACTTCCCACGAGCCACCTTGCACCTCCTTCCTGGGGGCTAGAAAGGCGGACACCCTGTCCCCGTCTGTTCCCGCCAGCCCGCGGGGCGGTTTGGGTTTACACGGGGCTCAGCACATGGTCCACGGGTAGGATCCTTGGAACATGACCTCCACTGGGGTCTTTCAGTGCTCACCCTGCCCGGGAGACGCCTCGCTGTTGTGGAGCATGATTCCAGTGGAGGCCATGTTCAAAGGATCCTACCCGTGGGCTGCGTATTGAGGCCCACGTAAACCCGATCTGCACCATGGGCTGCAAACAAATGGGCTGTGGGCTGCATGCTGAGTAGCAAGGATCCCACCCGCGGGCCATGTGTTGAGCCCCACGTAAACCCAAACCGCCCCGCGGGCCACAAAAGGGCCACGGGCTGCATGTGGCCCACAGGCCACGTGTTGAGGAGCCCGGCACTCGATCCTCTTCTGCTTCGGAATGAAAATGCCATGGTTGGGGGGCACCTGATGCACCTGCTCTGGAAATCAATGGGAGGGTTGGGCCCATCTGGCATCTCCTATCAGTGTAGGAGCTCACCAAAGAGTTCAGTATGGCAGGCATCATGAAGACAAATCAGTTCCTAACCCCCTGTTTCCGGCTCTACCCTCCCCCTTCCCCCCACACCCTTCCATCCATCCCCATACACACCCCTCTGTCCTTCTGAAGCCATAACAATGAGGCCGCGCACACACACACACACACACCCATCACTCCTCCATCCTTCTGCCCCCCCATTCCTCCAGCTGGCCCCACACACACCCCTCCATCCTTCTGCATCCCCCCAGATCCCTTCAGCTGGCCCTACACACACTTACATAGAATTGGGAGATCCAGCACATAGACACACTGCACCCTAGCAGAGCCCAGGGATGGAGGGGCATTATCAGAGGCGGGGCTCTGGACTGGCACAGAGGGACATTGCCAGAGGTGGGGGTGAAGAAGTCCAGGGCTGGGGCCAAACAGCCTCCCCCCAGCTCTGCCAATGC